GATGAGGACATCGAGTTGAGGAACCTTATGATGCCACTACCCTTGCCGAAAGTATCCAACCGATGACTAGCGTTGTGACGCAAATTCTATTCCTGCTAAAGCTGGATCTATTTAAGTACCTGATTTGTGACGAGATTGCATTTGATTTAAATAAAAGCTGAATTGGAAAAATAAAATTCACCCAAATATGGGTTGAATTCACCCAAAATCAATTTCCCATATATAGGTAAACATTACCTACATTATCCGTAAATTGCATGTACCCAAATATGGGTAAGTCGACTTTACACATAAAATTGGTATGTGCACTTTTTCGAGATTATGGGTATTCTTCACCCATATATGGGTGAACCGAACTAAGCGTGCACATCACCTGAAATTACGGTAACCGCAAAATGCCCAATAATGACTACAAAGTAAGCATTTTCGAGGGAGACTGGGACTACCCATTAAATGAGTAAAAGTATTACCCATTTATGAGTATTTGTTACTCAAAAATGAATACTTACTACTTGTTTTTGTAGTTGTAATTACTCATAAATGGGTAAAATTTTACTCATTTAATGGGTAGTCCCAGTTTCCCTCGAAAATACTTACTTTGTAGTCATAATTGGGTATTTTGCGGTTACCGTGTAGAATATAATTGGCTTCCAATGTATTCCAATGAGACCAGTTGGATTATGTCTTTAAATTTGTTTCCGCGAGTTAATCCGCCTTCCTTCACCCACGCTGATTTTGTACAGAAACTGAGGAAATCGCATAAACTGAAGTTAAAATAATCGTCAGTGTAACGTCATCAATGAATCCTCACTTCAACGTTCTCAGTTTCTATGATATCGATCGATAGCATACTACGTAAGTGACAGTATGAAAGCAATCTAGACATTCGTTTACATGTTTGTCATCATTTGACCAAAGGTCATATGTAAATAAAAGAATTTTTCCGACTCGTTTTTCATTGAACGAGTGATTGAGAAATCAAAGCAAAACTAAAACTAGCCCTGCGTCACCTAGCTGTCAGTTCTGTTATTATTAATGCGATGATGGTTTTGTTTTCGTCCCAAGGCGCGAAGTGGGAGGTGAATTTTAAAGTGTTTTTTGGTCGTGAAAATAAGGATATTCTCAAATGGAACGCAAAACAGATGGTGAGAAATTACGTTAACTTTATTATGCACATATATTCATTGAAATTAGATTAGTGAATATTAAAAAAATATAAAATCCAAATCAGGAATAACATTACAGGTTATGTTTTTTTTGCAGATTCTGAACGTGAGGTACAAATTACAATTCAGTACCAACATTTCAAAGGAGCGTAATTGCTTTTGTAAACAATGACTTTAGCCGTCAATTTCTCGCGAATGAAATCTTACCTCACCAAAATGACAATGCTAGCTGCTAGAGGAAACATTCCTCTACCTGCTGGTATCATTATTTTTCATGAATGAGCTTTTATTCGCGAGAAATCGACGGCTAAAGCCATTGTTTACAAATGCAATTACGCCCCTTTGAAATGTTGGCACTGAATTGTCGATGTACTGGACTACGTCGGTGAATCCGTCCGCCCGATCAAAGAAGGATATGCGGTTTTTGCAGCAAACCATATTGTTAGTATCGGTTGGAGGAAATGTGATACTGAATGGATTGACATTCTCTCGTATGTTACCCAGTCATCACACCCTGGCCAAACTCCTCATACTGTAAATATGAGAATTTATTCTGATGTTTCGCAATGGGCGCTCAAGTGTTCCTGCAAGGCGGGAACTTCTAAATGCAAGCACTTTGTAGCTTGCTTGCTGCATGCAGAAAAGTAATTGGATTTTAACATTATTTCCCAGTACATACCTATTACATTTATTTATAATGTTTGTTTTGATTTATATTAATTCATAAGGTACAGAAAGCTGGTGTATATGTCCTGTACGGAAGTGACTCAGGTGTGGGGAACTCCGAAAGCTCACAAGTCTGCTCCATGGGGTGCAAAAAAAGTTTCCGAAATGTGTTGCTTCAAACGCCCTAGAACGTCACCGGAAGTGGACGAACATGATGAAGAAGCAATATTGGTCGAATCGTTCAGCAGAATATTGGCCGGTATGTTATCCTGCAGTATCACATTTATATTTAATAAATTATCCAGTAACACAGTTTTTACATGTTTCAGTTTCAAAGCAATCTGCACTATACAAACATATTCAGGGCAGGTTCCTGAACGATCCCTTATCTTATCCAAATCGTGCTCAACAGGCGTTAGATCATACAGATGATGAATTTTGTGTTCCGAAAGACATTGAGTTATGCTTACTACGAAAAATCGGCGGTATTGAGGTTCATCCAGCATCGTACTGCTCGGACGAGGAAAAAATATATTACGAAAAGTACATACAAGCACAGAGAACAGACGTTCAAGTTCGGTCAGAAACTTGTGTAAAATAAGTGGGAACGTCGCCGTTACGTGGTGTTAGCATCTCCTGATTTTCTCTCTAAATTTTCCACTTTCGACCAATTTGGCGCTAGTATCGATAAATTTTCTGTTGAAAATTGCCACTTGGCGCTACTAGCACTAAGTGTCTAGTGTAATTTGTGCAACGTCAGCGCCATCATGTTGTCAAAGAGGGTTTTTAAGTGGGGAAGTCGCCGTTAGTGGTGCTTAAGTCAAATAGGAATCTTTACACAAGTTTTTAGAGAAATTTTGTTCGGGCCTCCATGTCTGTTCTCTGTGATACAAGTTGACATTGAGAAATCCATAACGATTGCTGTCGAAACGAAAGGCCAGAATACAAATGCCTGGAAGATCCATCGGGCATCAAGAATAACAGCCAGTTCCTGTTACTCTCTCTTCACGTATATCAGTAATAAGTCTGCCAATTGGGAGAAAAAAATAGAGTCATACTGGAACATCCGCAGCCTCAATGTAAAATCTACTAAATATGGCAAGGAAACCGAGTCTTTAGCTTTTGAATGCTATCGAAGAAAACGTAATCCTCTAATCAAACGATGCGGCCTTGTAATCCATCCTGTAGAGAGCTGGATTGGAGGATCTCCAGATGGAATAGATGCAGAATCTGGACTACTACTGGAAATTAAATGCCCTGGCACAGCCGAAATGCCATTGCTTGAGATCCTCAAGACGGCAAATGTATCCACCTATGTCAGACAAAAGGACGGTGACGAAATCACACTAAATTGGAAGCACATGTACTACTGCCAAGTGCAAATTAATATGTAGATACTAAATTGTTCCACGTGTGATTTTATCATTTATTCGAAGGCTGATGACGATTTTGTTTTGATAGAAGTACCGTGTGACGTATCCTATATTCAAAATGTGGTTAATGATTTGAAAATGCTTTATTTCAAGAAAATGTTGAAAAAGGTGATTAAATAAATAAAAATGAATAAATTTTTGATTTCCATTTCCGTATCTACGGTTCAATTATGAAATAAGAAACCCATTATGTATTACAAGTAGAAGTAAACTGAGAGCTTAAGGGGAGTTTTGTCTACAAGTCTGATACTGTGGAAGATCCGGAACGTCCGTAAAAGTAGAAGCACAAACGAAGTGACAGACGGAGCGGCTCGAAAACTTTGGTGACTAACCTGCTATTGCAATTTTTCAGTGTACCACACGGCAACACCACTACTACTGGATTGTACCACATGGCAACACTACTACTGGATTGAACTAGCATTTTCACCAAATGTACTAGAATGTTTTGGTTCTATCTCTTTCACTCTATTCAAAACTGAAATGCATAAAAATATGACAAAATGATACACTCTTTGCACACTGTCAAAGAATCATTGTACACAAAATCAACTTTGTTCAAATCAAAACAAAAGAACTAACCCATCTGGTGGATGATGGCACAAGCTTCCAAGAAAATTCTATTACAGTGAACCACATTATTTAAATGGATTTCTTCGCCAGTTAGTCGTCTGTCACTTCGTTTGTGCTGGTACTCTCTTTGGTCCCAAGCTAATTGATGCACCCCTCGAAACATGCGAAAATCCACGAACCCCTCATTTTATCTGTCAAACTTCCATAGCGAGTCAAAACAAACATAGTGTAGTACTAGAATGGGGTATGTTAATAGATTTGCTTGGAACCAATAGCCCTAATAAACGGGTACCATACTCTAACGATATCATAGATGGTACGACTATCCCACATAAAGTTGGGATGATATCCCGAATTGGTGGTTAGGCGCTTCTTATGGTTATTGTTTATGCGGGAGGGCTTTAAGTTTACCCATTGGAAGCATTTTCCCACTCATTTGGAAGCATTTCTTCACTCTAGGTACACTGATAAAAGTTTTCACTTAGTTTCTATTAGGAAAGCATATAATATTTTTCCAAAAACTATTTTTATCTGAATATCACATAACATCAGAAATTCTATGTAAGTAATCATATAGATTTCATTGGACACATAACGTTCATGTGGTTTAGTGGTGCAATTTCCAATTATTTGTATTTAAAATAATTCATCTGACAATTTAGTCTTAATGAATACATTAGAGCTAATTTAACACAGACCTAATCCGATTTGCAAAACGTTCGGTTGGTTCATTGAACTCGAAAAACTCTTCGACAGCCGTAAACGCACGAATACACGCTGAGATTGGTTCGTTGTTCCCAAACATGGTTCGGTGAAAATTTGGTTGCAGTAGCGTTGTATTCCGAAGAGATCTGCTCATGTTATCACATGAAAGTTATGTGAAATTCACATGGATATTTTCCACTGGTTATGTGATTTATTTTATGAGTGTACCCTAATAAAAAATACCACAAACGAACTGTATCCCGGATGGGTAAACTATCCCACAACTGACCTGAGACCTTCTGGTCTTAGAGTTACCTCTTTGGTAATACATATATGGCTGTAAGGACGAAAGTCTCTTTCTCGCCAATGCAAAACCCAATAATTGAGCAGGATTTTTCGGATAAACCACACACGTATCCAACATTTTCGTACTAAATTATAATTGCTTACAATTACTTCATGAGTCCACGTGGCAGTTAACCTGGATGACTTATTTACTAACAGAAAAAGAAGTTCCAAAACGCACAAAAATGCCCGGCCATTCGCCTAGGCTTCCCGATAGTTCACGAACCCCAGCAGGGCCTTCACGTCGCTCGGCTCCAGAACGATATCGTTCAGATAGTCGGCAAAAGCGGCGGAAATTCGATACAAGCTCCTCTTGGTGGCCGCCTTCAGGGCCACGTAGTTCCGATCGATCTTCTTCACGTCCAGCTGGATCGATCCGACCTTATCGAGCACCTGTTTCAGCTGCAGCAACGTCCGTATGACCAGTGGCAGATCGTTCTGAACGACACCGAACTGATCCTCCCGAATTGAGTGCGCCGCCAGCGATGCCAGCGCTTGGCTGATCCAAACAATCTGCTGTGATTGCGTCGCCAGAAGGTGGCAGGTTTTGGCAGTTTTCGGTTCCCCAAAGAGGTAGTAAATTCCCGGAATGGAGCGAAGTGATTCGCGTAACGAGTCTAGCCGGTGGTCGACCACTTTGCAGATGACATCCGGCTGGGGAGCTTCCGTTGGCAGGGCCGACGTAGACAGGCTGCGAATTCCAAAGCTTTCATTGTACTGCTTCATCAGTAGCTTTTCTGCATCCATGGAAGCCGTGGGACGTAGTTTGGCAATATCCGGACGGGGTTTCAGGGTTGCTCCTTCGATTGATTTCGACAGCTGAGTGGTGTAGTCTTTGATGAGACGAATGCATTCGCCGGAAACCAGACGCCAATTGTATGGATGGCCTCCCGGAATGGACAGAGCATACAGACGGGCCCGTCGTCTCGGATCGCAGCTTTCCGCGATTGTGAAAAGATCCAGTGCGGCCAGTTGTTGGATGATAGGAATCTGTTCGCAAGCAAGCGCTTCTACTAGAGTGACTTGCGAGTCATTGGCCAGCGAAGTCCGTTCGACCAGGAACTCCCGGTGCTCCGTGAGGAAAATGTGAAACAATACCTGCATCAGGTTCATGTTGGTCAGGATTTGCGAGGATAGAATCCAACAGTACAACACCAGTCGGATGTCGGTCAACACGGAATACAGCGCACCCAGCGAAGATTCCTCGGCGAGCGATACACCGTGGAAGACGTTGGCCAACTTGTAGCGGAAGTAGAAACAGTTGAAGGTGTAGTAGAAGCTCACGTAGGTCAGCGTTGGGAAAAACGATTTGAACAGAGACCGATACACCATACTGTAGAGTTGAGCTCGAATCTGCTGGTATCGAGACTGCTGAATGACCGGAAAGTTGAGACAAGGCTTTTCCAATTTGTTCTTGATGAAATAGTACACTCCGGCGAACGTGCCTCCCAGCTGCAGGAATAGATACTTCTCGTTCAGTACGGAATTTTCGTTATCCTTCGGTAGGAACAAAATGCGATAATCGTCCCGCAGGAAGCGTGTGTACAACCAAGCCGTCAGGAATCCAATCACGCAATTGACCAGCAGCAGGATGGACTTGGTGATGATCGATCTGAAACGACACCAACCATAACCATAACTCTCAAGTTCAATTTGAAAATAACCAAAACAGTAAAACTCACTGATAGATCTGCTGAAACCGCGTCGGACAGTACTTGACCCCGGAGAGGTGCGATTTGGCCAGGTATATTCCGTGAACGATGACCGCACTGACGAGCGGCATAATCCACAGCCAGGTGGAAAGGGAAACGAGCAATCGAAACGAGTCCACCAACCAAGCTAAGGGGTGGAGCAGGCTAAAATTGACCAACAGCAGGAAGCTCGCAAGCAGAACAAACTGCGCCCCGACGCTGTACAGGATTGCGTAGATGAAGCGCTCGACGCAAATTTTACGACCTTCTAAATCGCGAGACGGGACCGGTTCCATTGCTGTTGCCATCTTCCTGTACGTTGAATCAAACACCTCTATTCAAATACGAAATTGCACCAGGATATCGCGTACTTACCTCTTTCCTCAGTGAGCTGATTCGTTAGTTTATCATTCAAACTTGAATTAACGATAAAATTGTAAACTAAACGCTTAAATATCCTGCAAAATATTCGAGAAAAACTGGCTTGGGAAATGTGTGTACCGGCATCTGATGCAGCGCGCAAGCGAGTGTTGAGTTTTGACAGTTTGCAGTTTTGTTTTCTTTTTGATTTTCGTGCGATCAACGGCTGATTTTGTGACAGCAGCTTTTAGCTGCCCAGTGGGGAGGAGCTCGAGCGTTTAAAGCGCGGATGTTCAACTTGCGCGCAACAATTCTAGATAGAGCTGAAATATGGGCCAATGTCGCAATGGACTTGAACTGAGAAAAATAAATCTGAAGTTTTGAACAAGAATAATTAAATGTAAAATAAACTATAACCGCATTTCTAAAACTGGGCTATTTCCAGGTGGAAACATATTTTGTAAGCAATACATACCTTAAATGGTAGTTCGCTAAAAAAGGCTGCAACAATCGTCAAACTAGCGGTAATGTCACCAAGTGCCTCGTCACCCACGAATTGGCGCCTGTGTCAGTGGTCTAATAACTCTTAGCGCACTAATGACATAGTGATGCGCTATACAGCGCATTATGTCCGACGTTATGTTTAACGTACAGAACGAGAGGAAAATCGAATGTCGCGTGTGGGGTTTTCTGGTATCCGACTTGACCAACAATATAATTGAATGCATTTTTAAAGTTAGATTCTAATGTTTTGTATACCTTAAAACATTAGAAATCATCTACATTTAGAAACATCCGAATAACGTTTACTTTAAACGTTTTGTACATCTAAAAACATCAGAGAACAACAAACACGAGGTACAATTGAAAACATCTGAACAATGTTTAGATCTGACGTTTTTTCATCCGAAAACACCCCTGAAACGGTTGGTTCTAATGTCAAAAGATTGAAATACTTGACGTCAGAGTGACATTAGAATATCATAATTTTGTTCCAAAATGTCTGATGTATACACCATGTTGCCTTGCATAAATACAACTAAATCATAATGTTTTCCCATGTTTGAGATCAAGAATACATTTGATTTCGATGCTTATGTAGACATCAAAATCAAACGTTGGGCTAATGTCAATTTTTATTCGATAACATATTGAACTCGCTATTTTGATTTTTTTTTTTCGGGAATCAAAATGACCGAATTGTAGTTCAAATGTGAAGTGACCATTTGGCGTGGCACTGCTCATCTTCCAGTGCTGCTGTGTTTCAACTAGTGATGGACCAAGCCCTGGAAGGGCTAATGAATGTTTGTTGTTCCAACAAGCTCCAGCTTAGAGTCGTGTTTGTTCATTTGTTTATGTGTTTATTTGGTTCTACATCAACAGACTGGGTTAGTCCTAATGATTGATTAAGCAATACTAGGAAATACAATACACGCAAAAGAAACCGTTCCGGTATTCGTGAACAACAAATCACGAAAGCATGAACTGCAGGGGGTAAGTCACTCTGCCACCATGTGTTTGTGCTTATTGTGTTTCCAGGGTGTTTTTGGGTGTCGGAAGGTGTTTCATCATGTTGACCGAGCTGTCAAAACTTCAACCGAAAAAATATATTTACTGGCAACCATATCCTCAATCATAACAACATAACGCTATTAATGGCAGATTCTCCTGCGACTCCTTTGCTGTTGTTTGTGTGCAGATTAATCCATGAAACGAGCATTGGCCCTCTCACTTGAGGAGGAAGACGAAATGGGCGCCTAACCTGGCGCCTGATGATTTGCTCACTCTCAAGGGGGCCTTCAGCAGGCTGAAATGCACAACTGGCTTATGAACAGTATCCCGGAAATACCGAAAAATATTTATGGAAACGAAAGGAATAGGCTCTTTTCCGTCACGTCTTCATTGTCTTCTAATTTGTGAATACGGCAAGGCGGAAGCGAATTTCAGAAGCGACAACATTTTTACCATTTAGATTCTCAAGGACTTTATTACGAAGGAAGTCACCAAGAAACGGATCAAGCTGCAGCTTTCAACAAATTCGATTTGATTGATAACAGCGTAGCACCCATTTTCAGATATCAACGAGCAAACCTTCCCCGGATTAATCAAGTTGATCGAGCCGAAGATCGTTCACTACAAGAAGCTGACGAAGGACCACCAGATACTGCAGACAATGATCGATTTGGACATTCGAAACGATGAACCGCATCTACGAGATTCTGACCGATCTGTACATCGATAAGTTCAAGTTCAAAGGGGTCAATGTGAAGACGAAACTGCCGCAGTTGACTGACCTGCTGGAGAATTATAAATATGACGAGTTGGTCAATTTCTACAGTGTCGGGAAAGCGGTTGATGATGAGTAAATGAACTGGTATTTTAAATAAATCTATATTTCGGGGACACATTCCGGTTGAAGTCAAGTCGATCGATCACCTTAATTTTGTCTGTGCCTTAATAGGCTAAATATTCATTCTTTTCTAAAAATAATACACCAAGTCCCCTGGTCATAGTAACTATCTTCCACGCTGATCCTGCCCACCGCCAAACACAATTCGGACATCTCCTTCTTCTCGAACCACATGGTAATACCTGAGAAAAGTTACCTTCGCTTCCTGCTGCTGCCGTTCTACGTCACGCAACTTCCAAGGAAGCAACAAATCCTTATGCTGAAACTGCGTCCTGTTGGTGGGAATTGGCAGCACCGATTCCCCGTCGCCATGTTCAATCGGAACCACCTTCTCCGGCTCTCCATCCCACGGTGATTTATTGTTGTGCTTATGCTGCCGTATATAGCTTGATTGTCTTTCTTAAATCAGTGCCCGTCCTCCTGGGCGAAGTACTCGACACATTTCCCCAATCGCTTGCCTACGAAGCCTGAGGATTCAACCCCAGGTATTTACCATTACCGCATCCAATGTTCAGCAGGATAGACCCCGGACTAAGCGATTCCAAGAACCCTGCAATTCGTGGCCACGGCGACTGCCTCCAGTTCTAATTGGGCAGCGTTCTCTTTGATACGATCAGCTCTGTCATTCACTTCTTGTTGATACGTATCACACAGAGAACTAAACTGGGAACGTCAAGGGGCGTCATTCAACTTTCTGAACGTAAACGATACTCTTTATTCACGTTTCCTAATTGTTAGGCTGCCATTCAACCTTACCGTATCGATCTTTCTCGGCGTTATTCCATGAGTCCATCCGTATCGACTTTCGCCGGACATTGCGAGCAGAGACCTTCGGGGCAAATCCACATTCAAGTGTTGTCCCGTGGTGTCCCGAAAATCCATTACTATATCACTTCCGAGGGTATCGAGATTTGCCGATAATATTCGTACTCAGTCGTACCAATCTGGGATCGTATCGTTGTAACTGTAAACAACAACAACAATAACAAAACAACAAAATAACAATCGAATGTAAACATTATTTGCAGTGGTGCCAGAATTGATTAAAAAATTGCTTATCATACGTCGTGAGGGTGTTTGTGGGTGTTTGAAGTGTGTCGAAGTGTGTTTCTGTGGGTGTTAGCACAATGTGGCAGAGTGACTTACCCCCTGATGAACTGCTAGTTCGTTTGAATTCAAGACTTAGTTCCCATAAACGTGATCGAGTAAATAACATTTTCATGAAATAAATCCCAAATTCATGAACTTAAGACACGCCTGTTCAGCGCGACCATCGATTTCATAACGCTACAGAACGTCGAGAATAGTGTCTCGATTATTAGTGAGTGAGCTGAGCCGTATCATTAGAATGGTGGTCCGGCACAATGACAGTGGCTGGTACATGTCATCATACTGGCCGTTAGAGTGATGCAAAATTTGAAATTTTCACTCCACAATACTTAAACGATTCCAAATCGGATCCTGACTAACCTCTCAAAATTTGAACCCATTTGGTGAGAAACTGAGATGGCACAAACCATTTGAAATTTGTATGGGAATTACTATGGTGAAACCAAGATTTTTGTTCATGTCTATCTAATAATTTACCATATCGGTCTGCTTCAAAAACTTTTAATTGTGCTTGTAGGAAATTTTCCCAGCTACAACTTTGTTGAAGAGCACTTTTTGATTAAATGCAAGGATCGAAAGTTATCAATGGTTCAATGCGCTGATGTCTTATGATCATGCTCAATCAACTGCTCAGCAGGCAACATTGGTGTTTCTGGGGCGTTGAATAGAACACAAAAATCATGGCTACTATGTCACACTGCAAAATACAGTGTTGCCTACATAGCAGCTGCTTGATCATGTCATAAGTTTTCCAATCTCTTAAATAATTAATAACTTTTTCCTGTCTCGTTTTACATAGAAACGATCTTCTGCAAAATTTTAGCTGAGAAAATTTTGTATAAGAATGGCTATCGAACTGTTTCGCAGCTTAATATGGAAAAAGACTAGAAGGCAATGAACAAAAAGTTGAAATTTCTCATAGTAATTTACATGTAAACTTCAAATGGTTTGTGCGAAGTCTGTTTCTAACCAAATGAGTTGTAACTTTGGGAGGCTAATCAGGACCCGATTTGAAACCATTTCAAGTCAAAATTTGCATCAGTCTACTGGCCGTACTCGAAGAAAAAGAATCCTCGAACGCATCCGGTGTTCTTGCTCCTGCCGCTCCGATGGAAGTCGAAGGTAGTGTTGATTTGTTGAGCTGAAAACTCGGCTGAAAGTGTGTTCATTCCATCTGCTGGACAGATACCTGCTGCCAGTTTGGGATGCGGGTAAAACCTGCATCAAGGCTTCCGTTCTTTTCATTCCTCTTCCTCACTTCATTTAAAATATTGGTAATTATAGTGAAGTTGACATTTTACAGTCCATGAACCATGTTTCCGTTTTCGAGAACAAGGTTCACGATATCAATCACAACGCATTAACATAAATCACGTTTACCAGAACTAGATCATGATTTTCCGAACAGAGTTCAAGATTCTATGACTTTTGTTGCCTTTGCACGAGTTATGCTTATTTTTGTGGAACAATGTTCACGATTTCATGATTTTTATTCATGGTGTACTTTCGTAAACGAAAAGTTTACTTGTTCCGAAAATCGTGACTGGAGGTTGACGAATTTCGGAACGGATTTTTTCCCGTGTATAGTCAAGAAGTAACAAGCTGCAAAGGTCGTGGAGTTCAACTTAATTTTTAATTCTTAAAAATGTATCACAAAACCTCTGACGCAGCGTCTCGCGTGCCAAGTGAAAATCAAATAAGGAAGCAACGCGATTGAAAACCCTTTGAAGCCCATTAGCCCATAGCTAGTGGTTGAACGTTAACATCGATTTGTTGTAGTATAGAAGGACAATCGATTCTGCCCTGTAGAATGTCTGCCACAAACAGGGTCCTTTTCGTATCTCTTCGACTCCACAAAGGATCCAGGTGAATTAACTGGCACCGACTTTCGTAGCTTGGAAGGCGATGAGGATCCCTCCAATGCAATCGTCGAAGGGCAAACCTGATGAATTTTCGTTGAATAGACTCTACTCTTTGTAAACAGTTTTGGTAATTGGGATTCTATACAGGGCAGCAGTATTCTAACACCGACTGGACGAGGGAGCAGTAAAGCGACTTCAAACACTAGATGTCCGTGAAACTTTTAGCTATCCTGAAAATGGAACCGAGCGTTCTGGATGCCTTGTCGATCACGTACGAGATATGCTGGCTGTATGTGAGTTGACAATCTAAGATGACTCCCAGATCCTAAATGTGGTTCACACGAAGTACGTCAACGCCTTCTAGGATATAACCATAGAGGTAACTCTAAGACAAGAAGGTCCCGAAGAAACGTGCTAAACTTTTTGGCTCAGCTCTGGTACTATCTTCGGTCCCAAGCTAATCGAGGACGAAATTGACGTCGTTGAAATATACTAGAAATATAAACGGGCCGAGGTGACTACCTTGCGGAATACCCGTAGTGGCAGGGAATGAAGGAGTCACAGAAGATTGGAAGTAGTCGACCGCCCTGCCATGAAAACATGCTGGTCTTCGCTCAAGTGCTGTTTGAAGTGAGAGACTAATGGTTCCATAACGACCAACTCGAACAGTTTAGACATGGCACACAACGATGTGATGCCGCGATAGTTGTCGATGTATCTTTTGCATCCCTTCTTATGCACTGGAAACATCTCAGCTGATTTCCAGCAGGAAAGAAAGATGTGTTGCTTGAGAAAGACGGAAGGAACTCCGTCAGGTCCAGGCTTAAATGAAGACTTCAGTTGCGAAGCCACCCTAGTTATTATAGCGAGGTCGATGTTGATAGCTGTCAAAGACTGACCAGACATTGGAACATTACTGGCTGCTAGAGAAACGTGCTCGTCAGGTAGGTTCTCATCCGAGAATACACACGCAAACCTGGTTGAGAACAGACGGCAAATGTGCTGAGGGGATGAAGCTTCTTCGCCGTTCAGTACCATAGTCGATGGAAGGCCAGACTCCTTTTATTGCTCATTCACATAATTCCAAAAAGTTTTCGGGTGAGATCGAAGCTTCCGTTGATAACGCCGATAACATTGGCGACTGGTTCGTTGATACGCATGATTGATCCTCGCATAATGGTCCTTGACTTGTAGGGTGTGGTACTTGGTGTATTTTCTTAGCGCGGCTCTTTTGGAAGACTTTAACATACGGAGTTCACTTGTATGTCAAGAATGATAATTACCTTGTTTAGGAACTTTTTTCGGAGAGCATTTGGGCAGCTGCATTGACATCGGCAGGGACGAGTATCATGTGTAAGTCCAAATTCGAAAGAAGTTCCCCGATACTGTCGTGGTCAGCATTTTGGAACGAGCTCAGGAATTTGGTTGCCTTAAAGTGATCGCCAAGAAATTACCGGTAGATTGAAGTCGCCAATGATTATCATCTCGTCAGCAGCTGTTGCGATCTCCATTATAGCTCGAATAGACTGACTGTGGGATTCAATTAGCGTAGAGTCACGAGTTCGATTCGGATGAAAGTAAACTATACACAAAAACAAAGTGCGGTCAGCGAGCTTAATGGCAATCTAAACTTGTTCCACACAATTCCATGAATCCGTTTTCGATAACTTTTGCCTTCAATCCAGAGCCGACCGCTATGAGAACGCCTCCACCAGTAGATTTGCGGCTGTTGTGCGGATTCCGATCGCATCGAAAAACCTCGTATTCGGAACCTAACACTTGATTTGACAATGAGCGAGTATCGAGCCAAGTCGTCGAAGCAACGATCCGAAACCGCTGAGCGATAATCATCGATGTTGGAATTCATCCCACCAGCGTTCTGGTAATACATGCAGATGGCCTGACTGCGACGATAAGTAGCCTGGCGGGGGCTGCATTGCGATCTAGTATTGGCAACGACACCAGGCAGGGGATGTTCCAAGACAGACTGATTAACTCTGGTGTCAACTTCAAAGCAGCTGGACATTCTTGATCGGGATTTAATCCTCGGATAATACGGGTTGGCACTTACCACCATTCAGGTAGTACAAGACCGAAATGCCCTGGAACATCTTAAGATTCATAAATTTCGTCTGCTAACTTCCAGAACTTGGATTTCGGAGCAATAAAAAGTGTTTGATGATTTTTTTTTACTACTACTGACAGTACTGGTACTGACGTTTAAGGAACTACACATCACTTCATCAGACAGTTATTTGTTGGACCCTCTAAGAGATTCTCTTGCCCCACTGTGTAGGGGGCTCACATCGATAACAATCATTTCACTACACAAACAGCTAACCATTTTCACGTCCTCGTCCTTCACACATACTCGCATGTCCATTCTCAGTAGATTATCTGCAGAAAGTCCGGTTCCGTTACGACTTCCGGCTTGTATATCGGAATCACCGTATCCGGTGACAGGTGCTCGTATGTGGTATGACCCAACAGCCAGAAGGTATCCATCGTTCCTTTCCCCTTCACTTCGATCGTACCGCGGTGTTTGATTTTGAACCCACCGAGCTTGTCCAGGATTGCCTTGGTGTTTTCCGACAGGTGAATCTTCATGGCTGCCATAAAAAAAAAGTTGTATAATTTCATAAGAGACCGTCAAATAATATCATGAGAGAGCTTACGTTCCCCGGTGGACTCCATCCTGGACGCGGTATTGATCGTATCGCCAAATAGGCAGTACCGTGGCATGGTTGTTCCAACCACCCCGGCTACGCACGGTCCCGTGTTGATTCCGACTCGTATCTCCAGCGTCCTGTTCCTCATGTGCGGTATGATGAATCCGGAGATGCCGCACACCAGATCCAGTGACATCATCGCAATCTCGCCGGCATGCTTGTCGCCGTTGCGCTGTGGAAGCCCGGAAACGACCATATACGCGTCGCCGATCGTCTCCACCTTGTAGACGTCGTACTTCAGGATGATGGTATCGAACAGCCGATACAGGGTGTTCAGCATGGTGACCACTTCCATCGCCGTACTGTCAGCGGATATGAACGTGAATCCAACGATATCGCTGAAGAAGATCGTTACCGAATCGAACGTCTCTGCCGGGACTTGACGCTGTTGTTTCAGTTGCCGAACGACCGCCGGCGGTAGCATTTGGTACAGCAGACGATCTGCTTTGCTCTTTTCGCTGCGAAGCTCCAGGGTTCGGGTGATCAGTTGATTGGAGAAGTCCTGAAAATGGATGTTGTTGTCGTTAGCCGTTTGATTGCAGTGTGTACCGGTAGTTTACCTGAATTGTGTCCGTAGCATTCCGAACCAGGATTACCAGAACCGGACTGATGAATATGGTCAACAGTACCAGTACGATAGAGATTGTCTGGTACAGCCGGGCGTCACTCATCTCTTCGTCAACCGTTTGTAGGACCGTTACCTGAAGATTCGTTTGAATGGTGAGCAGATTCTGGATGAACTTGTTCACGGATTGGTAGTATTCTACCAGGCCTTCCTCTCGACCAACGGTAGATGAATTCATCAACACCTGGTGGCGCCACTTGCTCAGTACGGCATACTCCTTGCTGTTCGTAATCTCGACGTTGGCCATGAAATTTTCCGCCGCTCGTAGATGGTCCATGGCAGCAGCGTCTCTGCGGACAAACTGTGAAAAGTCATCCAACCCGAGACGACTTCGCTGGATGAACTGAAGCACCAAGATGGCGGCGATGTTGATGTTCTCAACCGCTTCGATTATGTTCTTGTACACGACCAGCTGTCTATTGAGCAGAAGAGAAGCGAAAAGATCAACTTAGGTTAGCATTCAGCAGAACAAAACACTCTTACGAAGTTGTTACCGCCAAATTACTCCACTTAAAGATAATCCCACGCTTTGGCTAATCTGGTCTATTAGGTGACGGTTCAGGTTGTTGTATGATTCAAAGTACACCCCTATTGAGGTATTAATGATCTCCGCCGGAGAATGAGGTCTGTAACCAGAGAGGAATTTATGTTTGTTAGAAAATACACATAATCTATCACCACAGACAAACAGACGTATCACATTTGCCAGGAATAAACTAAGCTTCTGTTTTAACGCATGCAATAACTAAAATGTTGAACGTCTTTTTGTCTGTAATGCCATCCTTGAGGAAAAGTGAATGCTTTCACCTCATCAGCAAGTCCCTGGTTTCGCTTGAAATGTAAATCTTTGCATAAAAATCGGGGCTCAAATTCATAAAACGAACAATTTCATTAATCTTTCCATACCTGAGATCTCCGGCGATGGTCTGATTGGAGCGCTCGTCGAATTCGATGTCCCATTCCTTGCTGCGGGCAATCAGTCCGCTTAGGACCAGATCCGTTTCGACAAAGGCTTGCTCGACGGCGGGTCGGTTCTTCCGGGTCAACACAAAGTAGGTCAACAGTTTACGCTCAGTCTGCACGACCCGCACCAGGCTGGTTATGTTGATGGTCATGCGGATCTAGAGAGCAAGACTCAAACGAAGGCGGATAAATAAAAGGATTGAGTTCTAATTTATAATCATCCCATACCTCTTCGCCAACACGCTTCGTTGTCTCGTATTTCGTAATTTGCTGGCGCAGTAGGATGCTGTTCTGCAGCACGACGGCCACTATCGGTATTATCAGCACCACGAGCATGTGGCACATAAACAACCGGCGGCCTTCTCTGAAAGAAAAAGGTTATGAGAAAGGGACAATTAGCTTCACAGGATCGCAAATGAATAGGGGGTGATGATTGTTTGGTGGCGTTTATAATGCGATTAGAAAGTGGAAAGTTGCCAATTTGTCGTACACGCTCATAGGGTTTCTCCAGGTTTCAAAACATTTACTGATTTGGGTTGTTGAATAGGGTATTTTGAAACCAATCGTCATCGAGATGAACGAAATGTCTTCACATGTCTGCACCGTTACTTTTAAAATTTGCGTTGGATGCAGGTAGGTTAAGAGAACATCATTTGATTTCAGGCTACTTCGTAAAAGTTCAGGGGATCGTTGTAGGAATTGAAGAAACTTCGTAGATCTTCAGAAGACTTCGTAGAACTTCAGGAAGCTGCGTAGAAGTTCAAGGGACGTTCTAGGAGTGTAGAAGCTCTGCGAGCTGTGTTGTATTTTAGGCCTAGCAGTTGAGGCCTTAATAGTTCTTCTATCGAGAGTCTGCGTCATCAAATTCACTGAACTCGTGCTGCAGTGTTTCACAGGCAGCGTTACAGCAACAATCAATACGAAACTAACGATTTTAAATTGGCTCACTACTTGACTAGCATATTGGTCCCAAGCAAATCGATTAACGTACCCCATTCTAGTCGAAATTCTAGTACTACACAATGTTTGTTTTGAATTGCTATGAAAGTTTGACAGTTTTCACCATCGGTTCTGTTCAATCGGTGCTCAAGCTTTCCGTTGACCAATAAGAATAAGGCACTTCGTTCACTTGAATTCAGCTGTCACATCGTTATATTTGTCCAGATTTGCCGTCAGTTTGCTGCTAGATACTGACGAGTAACACTCGGTGCTTCCGTTTGTTTGATGAAATGGACAATCTGCGGGCGACATCGACATCATTCGCCTTATACCACTCTAGCACGTCCTTCGTGTAGGGGCATGATGCCAAATCCGGCCAGAAGATCATCAAACCGTCGTGAGCCTTCAGGAGAGGGAGAAGCCGCTTTTGGAGACACTCTTCCAAATACACCTGTCCATTCATGGTGTTTGCGGTAACGAAAGGTGGACTCCGCTTCCCGCAAGTACAAATCGCTTGTCAAATTAAGAACTTCTTGGTGAACTTCGACATCTTCTGTGTTCGGAGGTTCTCGGGAACATCACACTTATCCTTATTGACAGTCACATACAGGTTTCCTGGAATCTGATTCAAGTCTGCCTTCACATATGTCTCGTCATCCATTACGCAGCAGTGTGGTTTCGTTAACTTCTTCCGTATTCTGTTTCTCGTCACGGTTTGGGGACTTCTGAACCTTAAACGTACGTAGTCCAGCTCGAGTTTTGGTATTTTGCACAAAAGTCTTGCTCACATGCAACTTTTTAGCCACATCTCTGAAGAGGTTTTCGGATGGGCAAACAAAGGAAAAAAAACTCACGGATTGATAGAGAGAAAATAAAAACAACGTGTATTCACTTGGTTTGATTTGGTTGTAATAAAAACGGAAATGCAACTGTCAAAACGGCCGCAGCCGAAAATACTCCAGTGGTGTGGAAAAACAGTGGGGGCACATGGAGTGCAGTGGTTGCCATCTCAACACCCCTGCTCAAGCACAGCACGTCTCCAATCCTAGCTTGGACTGAAGAACCTTGAAGACAGCTGCCGGTAGACCCTTAGTCATAAGGTCCGCCTGTTGCTCTGCCGATCGCACGAACTTGATTTCGATCTTACCTTGTTGTACCAACTCACGCAGGAAGTGGAACTTGGTATCGACGTGTTTCAGCCGCTTGTAGTCCTTAGAATCCTCGGCGATCTTGATCGTGGACTGGTTATCCTCATAGATTGGGACAGCTCCGTTCAACGGCTTCCCCAAATCTGCCAGCAACCGCATCATCCACATGGTGTGACACGCAGCTGTGCATAACGCCGCTAGCTCCACCTCCGTCGATGACAATGATACGGTCTGCTCTGCTGTTTCCTCGTAAGCCAACTGACGGTACTCTCATACAACTTCATCACGCAGCCGGAAACCGAACGGCGATCATTCGGATCGTTCGCCCAGTCCGCGTCACAGAAGACTTGCAGCAACGGTACATTTTTTTCCACCTTATACACTAGACCAACGTCCGTCGTTCCCTTGATGTAGCGGAGAATCCGTTTCAGGTGGATCCAGTGTTCTTCATTCGGGCACGACTGGAACTGGCTGAAAAAGTTCACAACCGCCGCCAGATCCGGTCTCGTTGTGATCGACGCGTACGTCAAACACCCCACCAGTTCGCGGTAGGGCTTAGACGTTCTCTGCTTCTCGTCTCCCTTCTTCAGTCTCAGCCGGTTCTGCATCGGCGTCGAAACGGGTTTGCAATCCACCATGCCAAAGCGTCGCAACAGCCCTTCGAAGTAGTCCCACTGACTGATCTTCAGAACTCCTGCCTTCCGGTCACGATCGACTTGCATACCAAGGAATTGTTTGATCTCACCTTCGTCGGTCATCTCAAACTCCTCCGCCAACTTGCGTTTCACTGACTCCAGCATCTGCAACGACGAGCTGGCCAGCAAAATATCGTCAACGTAGATCACAAGGATCATCTTCTCCTTCCCAGTTCCACGCGTGTAGAGGCACATATCGTTGGTGCTCCGAACAAATTCCAGCTTGCTGATAAAACTATGGAACCTGTCGTTCCACGCTCGGGACGCTTGTTTTAACCCGTATATAGAGCGGTTTAGCCGACAGACCAGTTCACTTCCTTGCTGGAACTCTTCCGGCTGGGTCATATAAATCTCCTCTGCTAACTTGCCGTTCAAAAACGCGGTCTTGACATCCATGGTGTGAACGAACATCCGGTTCTCGTTGGCCAACGCAAGTACAGCCCGCAGCGTGTCGAGCTTCACTACTGGAGAATACGTATCTGTATAATCGAAGCCTTGCTTCTGTGTAAAGCCTCTCGCAACGAGCCTTGCCTTGAACCGATCCGACTTCCCGTCGCCGCCACGCTTTACCTTGAAGACCCATTTACAGGTGATCGCCTTCCGCCCAGGTGGCAGCTTGACCAGCGTCCAAGTTTTATTCCGCTTCATGGAACTCATCTCCTCGTTCATCGTAGTCTTCCACTTTGGCCAGTAATAACGCTACTTCAACTCGGCGATCGAATTCGGAATGTCCTCAATGAAGTTCATGGCGTTCAAAGCAAAACTGGCGTATTCCACGTCGAAATCCTTATGCCATGCAGGTGCCGACCGTACTCGTTGAGGCCGTCCGTCTCCAGTTTGACCAGGGGCTTCATCACCCAAGTTGTCATCATCAGCTTCTTCACCATCAGCGGAGTTGTATTAATCGTCTGAAACGTCTTCTTCCTCAGGACCAACGTCGCAGTCGTCGTCGATCTCCTCGACGCTCGCCGGTGCCTCTTCAATCAACTGCTTGTCGGCATTGATCTGCTTCCGCTGCGGACGCCCTGTTTCGACGAAGTCTACATCGCGCGCTGTCACGATTGTCTTCTTTACAGGATCCCAGACACGATATCCATTGTGCGCATAGCCGACGAGGAGTCCTTTCCACGCCTTGGGATCAAAATCCGCCGTAGTTCCATCGGCACGTGAACGAACACATCACAGCCGAAAACCCGAATGTTCAACACATCAGGCTTTCTCGATTCCCACAGCTCGAACGGAGTTTGCTTCTTCTCGAGCACTGCAGTCGGACTCCTATTGACTAGGTAGGCCGCCGTCAACACAGCTTGCCCCCAGAACCTCTTGTCCACCGCCGAATCGTCCATCATGGCTCGCACCTTTTCAACGAGCGTCCTATTCATTCGCTCGCTCAGCCCGTTCTGCTCCGGCGTATATGGCACCGTCCACTCGATTTGGATGCCTTTGCGTTTGCAAAACATTTGGAATCGCTTGCCTCGATATTCGCCGCCGTTATCGCACTTCAGCCGCGTGATCAGACGCTCAAACTTCGCCGTGACGAATGCCTCGTACTCCTCGAAACACTCCGCTACCTCGTCTTTCGACTTTATCAGATACACCACCGTGAAGTGGCTCCAGTCATCGATGAACGTCACGAAGTATTTCATTCCGTCAAGTCCAACCGGCGTCACCGGCCCACAAACGTCCGTATGCACAAGCTCGAGCACTCGCGACGATCTTCGTTCTTCACGCGACGATAAAGGCTTCCGCGTTTGTTTACCCACTACGCACGGTTCGCAAACGATGGTATCACCGGTCGCACCAGTTGCATTCAACTTCAGTCCCGATACCATTTTGTTCTGCACCAAACACTTCAAGCTTCTTTCATTTAAATGTCCATACCGACGGTGCCACAGTTCGAACCTTTCTGCACTCGACCACACGTCAACAACGAGGCATCATCCGCACTGTGCCTTTCGGAGTAAAGGTCTAGTCCATACAATTTATTCTTCAACGAACCGCACGCGACGATTTCCGAACCACTGTAAATGTTTACTTTTCCAGTCTCAAAAACGACGCGCATTCCAGCCTGCTCGACGCGAAACACCGAAAACAAATTGCAACGCAGCTGCGGAACGTACAGAGCGTTTTTAATTGTACAGTCTACTGGCTTACCTTGAACCACCGCTACCACCTTCACCATGTCGGAGTATTCCGCTCGAATCGTTTCGCCATCCTTAGCCACCGCAATCTCGATGGGCTTCTTCAAACGATGCAACTCACAGAATAATCCTTTGTCACGCACAAGATGATCCGTAGCTCCCGAGTCGATGAACCGCTGCGTTCGGTTCTCCTCGGAAAGGTTCACTCTGTTGACACTCACGAAACAAACACTCTTCCGTTCGCCAGACTCCGCCATATTCGCCTTCGAGTTCTGCTTCTGCTTCCGAGTGGACTTGTTCTTCTTCTCTGGACACTCGGCCAGCTTGTGGCCTTCCTTTTTGCAGCCAAAACATTTCAGCTTCCTTGCCGGCTTCGATCCGTAGAACGCTGCACCCGATTCGGAATGGGAAGACATATCCATGCCTTTCCGCTTCGTCTCT